CGTCCTCCTCGTCCCCGACCTCCTCCTCCTCCTCCTCCTCCTCCTCTTCCTCCTCCGCCTCCTCCGCCTCCTCCTCCTCCTCTTCCTCCTCTTTTCGGCCTCGGGGGGCCCTTGCCGGGCCTCGGGGCCGTTAAGAAAGGCTTCCGGACGAAAGGCCGGTCCCCGGGAAGGGATGTCCAGGCCTCTGGTGTCGACGCTGTGACAAAAATCACGACGTCGGAGGTTTGGGGAGGCGGTGGCCGGGAGCCTGTTTTTGCAAGGCCTGGGCGACGACGGCCGTGATCGGTCCTCTCCCTCCCTAGCTCCCCCCTTGGATCCCGTCGCGTTATTGTGCCCACGTCTGCAAAGCTTTCCCGTAGATTCTTCGAGGATTTCCCAAGATTTCTGGCGGCCCCCTGCCGCGATGTGATTCGAGGGGGCGAGTTCCCCCCCTCTCCCCGATCACGCCCGTCATCGCGAACACTAGAAAAACAGGCTCCAGCGCGGCCCTTGCGAAGGCCGAGGACGCCAGCAGCAGGTTCTTTTCGTATGTGGCGGCGTCCGAGCCCCACCCCCGCCAGCCATCGGTTCTCCGGAAAATCGATGGGAGGCGCAGGTAGGGCTCGGATTTCGCCACGCGTTCGACGAATGCCGTGCCCCAGCCCCGCCGCCCATCGAGTTGTCTGAATCGTTCATCGGCGAGGGTAGGGTTCGGATGTCGTCGCCGATTTCTCTGGCCTCCCCTGCTTGGTGCCACGCCGACCTCCGCATCGGCATCTACACCACGACTTCCACCACGCCCTCCCGCCTCCCCGCCTGGCGCAGGCGCCACCACCGCCTGGCAGTGGAAGCAGCACTGTCACGAGGGAGGCGATGAATCGGCGGCCAGGGAAGGAGGGAAATGAGAGGGAAAAGGCCTTCTCAGAAGGCGGCGGGGCTTCTCAGAAGCCCTCGCGCCCTCTGAGCCGTTCCTTCTGCCTCCGGGGAAGGCTCAGAGAAAACTTCTCCGAAGGCCAGGGGACCTCCGAGCCTTCTGAGGGCCACCACGGCTTGCGGGTGCACGCTTTGCAGGGCCGCGGCGTCGCACAGCGTGCTCGCAATCCGCCAGCGTGCGCACCAGCGCACACAGAGAGGCGGCCGCGGAGCACGTCGCCACCGAGCCCCGCCCTCGACGCCGCCGTGGCCTGCGGGCGAGGCAGCGCCGCCTTCGGCACCTCCCGCCGGAGGCCGCCGGCGCGCGGGGCGCGGAGGAAGTCGGCGGCCGAGGTCGGCGCGACGCCTCTCGCCTCGTGCTCTCGGCAGGCGGCCGGGATGACATTCCTCGCCATCCACGGGCGTCCTGGGCACCTCTGTGACGCGGTCTCGAGCCCGGCATCATCGGGTTCGATGCTCGTTTCGGGGACCTTCCTGGAGCCCACCTAACGGATCTGTTCGACCCCAGTTCGACTCAAGTTTGACTCAAGTTCGACTCAAGTTCGACTCAGGTTCGACTCAGGTTCGACTCAGGGTCGACCCAACTCGACTGACGTTCGACGCAGCTTCGACGCACGAGTGGAGCGAGTGGCTCCAGGAAGGTCCCCAGAACGAGCATCCAAATCGGGCAACCTGGGGAAGATGGCCCAGGGGGCTCGGGAGCAGAGGCTCAGGAAGGGACGCGAGGGACGGCAGGCGCTACAAGAGGGGCGAAGGAGGGGTGGTAGGGCTGAGGGTTGGGGAGGAACAGGGGATGGGAGGGCTGACAAGCTCGATACTGTGCCATCTCATCGGAGAAAGCCGACGAACAGCAGCTGCCTTCTCCTATGTGTCGTCGCCGTTGTCGTTTTCCTTTCAATACTAGTGAGAGGGAGACGAGGCGGAACACGAGGAACACGAGGACGAGGAGGAGGGGAGGACGATGAGAAGGAGGAGAAGGAGGAGAAGGGGGAGAAGGAGGAGGAGGATGTGAAAGATGAGGAGGATGACGACGAGGGCGAGGACGACGAGGGATAGGGTCCTGCGAGGGAGGAATGTCGAAGAGAGGGGGACGGGATCAGGAGGAAGACGACAGGGAAAGGGAGGAAGATGAGGAGGCAATGAGGAGGACAAGGAGGAGGCGGAGGCGGAGGAGGAGTAAGAGGAGGAGGTGGTGGAGGATTCGCAGGATGAAGACGAGGTTGAGGGCGAGGACGGGGACGAGGATCATGACCGTGATGATGATGGTGGCGGTGGTAATAACGATGAGGATTGTGGTGATGATGGTGATGGTGATGGTGATGGTGATGGTGATAGTGATGACGACGATGCTGCTGCTGATGATGCTAATGATCTTGATGATGCTGATGGAGAGGATGGGGAGAACGAGGCATGATATGTTGATGACGATGGCGATGACGACGAGGATAATGACAGCGATCATGACGATGCTGATGATGATGATGCTGATGATGATGAGGATGATGAGGATGATGTTGCTGCTGATGACGATGACGATGATGATGATGACGATGATGATGACGCCGAGGGTGATGGTTCTGCTGATGCTGATGATGATGCCGATGATGATGACGATGCTTGGGATGATTGTGGTGGTGGTGGCGATTATGATGATGCTGATACTGACGATGCTGCTGCTGCTGACGACGACTATGATTATGATGACGATGATGATGATGATCATGATCATGATCATGACGATGACGATGACTATTTCGATTACGATGATGACGATGATGCTGCTGATGATGATGATGACGTTGATGATGACGATGACGATGATGATGCTGTTGATGATGACGATGATGATGCTGATCAAGGTGCTGATGATGCGGATGATGGTGATGATGATTGTGCTGTTGATACTGACGATGATGCTGATGCTGATGCTGCTGATGATGCTGATGATGTTGATGATGATGCTGCTGATAATGATGCTGTTGATGATGACGACGGTGACGATGTTTATAATGCTGCTGCTGCTGATGCTGCTGCTGATCACGATGATGTTGATGATGATAATGATGCTGATGATGATGATGATGGTGATGACGAAGAGGATCATGCTGATGATGCTGATGATGATGATGATGGTGGTGATGATGATGGTCATGCTTATGCTGATGATGATGGTGATGCTGATGATGATGATGATGAACATGTTGATGATGATTTTGATGCTGATGACGATGATGATGACGAGGACGATTTTGATGTTGAGGTTGATCATGATGATGATGCTGACGATGATGCTGATGCTGATGATGCTGGTTACGATGCTGATGCTGATCATGATGATGATGATGATGATGATGCTGGTGATGATGATGCTGATGGTGATGATGATGATGATGATGAATCTGTTGATGATGATGATCATAGTGAGGATGACGAATATGATGATACTGATGATGATGATGGCGATGACAATGATGATGCTGATGATGATGCTGATGATGATGCTGCTGATGATGATGCTTATCGTTGTTGTTACGTTGATGTTGTTGGTTATGATTATGATGGTGCTGCTGCTGACGACGACGATGATGATGATGATGATGATGATGATGATGATGATGATGATGCTGATGATGATGATGATGCTGATGCTGATGCTGATGCTGATGCTGATGCTGATGATGATGATGATGATGATGATGATGATGATGATGATACTGATGATGCTGATGATCAGGATGAGGAGGATGAGCAGGAGGAGGAGGAGGAGCAAGAGGAGGAGGAGCAGGATAAAGAGGTGGAGGTGGATGATGATGACGATTAGGAGGAGGAGGAGGAGGAGGAGGAGGAGGAGGAGGATTAGCAGGAGAATTAGGAGGACGATGAAGAGGAGGAGGAGGAGGAGGAGGAGGAGGAGGACGAGGAAGAGGAGGAGGAGGAGGAGGAGGACCAGTGTAAAACCAAGAGTCATCAACGATGTTGGAATCAACCATCCCTCCAAGCTCCCTCTTCATAGGCCCCCACAACGGTTCATTTCCATTGACGGAACTGCCTCGTCGGAAGACAATCGTTTGAAGATCCTGAAGCATGCCAACACAGTGTTCTCAGGATTTCAACGCCACGTATCAACCTGACTGCGGCGTCTTGACGATCCGGAATCGAGCACGAGCGCCATTTTTGGGGTCTCAACACCGCGAACCAACATAACTGTTGCACCCGCGTAATCCTGAATCCTTCCGAAACACCGTTTCTTGTACGTTGATCATGGGAACCCGTGGAACTCTTGCAAATTTTGAAAACGAATGTGCGCGGCGCTAAGGCGAGAGCCACATTTGAAAAGGAGCCGCCCTCAATCCGTGAAACTCTTGCAATTTTTTCAAACGAATGTGCGCGGCGCTACGGCGAGAGCCACATTTGAAAACCACCCGCCCTCAATCCGTGAAGCTCTTGCAAATTTTGAAGGCGAATGCTCGCGGCACTAAGGCGAGAGCCACATTTTGAAAACGACCCGCCCTCCATCTGTAAAACTGTTGGCACTTTTGAAGCTTCAGACTCATAAGTGGTGAGGAAGTCTCAGGCGAAACGCCCGGCCCGCCCTAAAAACTGGCCTCGGGGTGCGACAGGGAGGAGTTATCTATAAGGAGAAGAAGTGGAGGAGGAGGAGGAGGAGGAGGAGGAGGAGGAGTAGGAGGAGGAGGAGGAGGAGGAGGAGGAGGAGGAGGAGGAGGAGGAGCAGGAGGAACAGGAGGCGGCAGAGGAGGAGGGGGCGGCTGGTGCAGGAGGGGTAGGAGGAGGCGGAGAAAGTAGAGGAGCAGGACGAGGAGGGGAGGTAGAGGGCCAGGGGCATGAGGAGTAGGAGCGGCTATCCTCGGGGCGCGCTGACGGAGCGTGGCGCGAGCATGCGGCTGGGACACCTCTCAGAAAGAGCCCTCCTCTTCCTCCTATTCCTCCTGCTTCTTCTCCCTCCTATTCCTCCTAATGCTCCTATTCTTCCTATTTTCCCTTCCTACAATTCCCTCTATTCCTCCTCTGTCTCCTCTTTTTCTTCCTTCTATTCCTCCCTCCTTCTTCCTCCCCCCGTCCTCCCCGAGGGCGTGATGATGGTGCAGGGCTGGAACCCGGGCCCGTGCCACCTCCGAGAGAAGATCCGGCTGGACGAGTGCCGGAGGAATCCCGACGGCTGCCCGCCTGCTCCGCACGTCTTTGGAGGCAGCGGCCGCTGCGACAGAAATGTCTTCCCCCAGCTCGTCTTACGGAGGAGGAGGGGGGGGAGGGGGAGGGGGGGAGGGGGAGGAGGAGGAGGGGGAGGATGAGGCGGCTTCTTCTCTTCATCCTTGTTTGTATCATTCTGCTTCCCTCCCTCTTCCGATCCCTCTTCCTCTCTCTCTCTCTTTATCTAAACATTTCTCTCTCTCTCTCTCTTTCTCTCTTCCTCTTTCCTTCTCTAGCTCTCTCTCTCTCTCTCCATTTGTTGCTTTCTCTCTCTCTCTCTCTTTCTCTCTCTCTCTCTATCTCTTCCTGTTGCCCATTTCTGGCTTCATCTATACATCTCTCTCTCTCTCTCTCTCCTTCTTTTTCCTTTTCTAATGCCCGACCATGCTGTGGTGTTGGGTCGTCGTTTTGAAGAGACAGTCCTCGCGCCTCCTCCTTATCCTCTCCTCCTCCTGCTCCCTCCTGCTCCTCCCTCCTGCTCTCCCCCTCCTCCCCCCCTCCTCCTCCTCTCCACCTCCTCCTCCTCCTCCTCCTCCTCCTCCTCCTCCTCTCTCCTCCTCCTCTCCTCCCGTCACCCCCCTCACTTTGGCACACCCCTCACACGTTTAGTGGTCCCATAGGGAGCTCCACCGAAGGCCCCAGTGGCATGGTTCGCATGCCCCCCCCCTCTACTTTGGCACACCCCTCACACGCTTCGTGGCCCCAAAGGAAGCTCCACCGAAGGCCCCAGTGGCAGGGTTCGCATGCCGCCCCCCTCCACTTTGGCACACCCGTCGCACGTTTCGTGGCCCCATAAGGAGCTCCACAGAAGGCCCAGTGGCATGGTTCGCATGCCGCCCCCCGTTCATTTTGGCACACCCGTCGCACGTTTCGTGGCCCCATAGGGAGCTCCACCGAAGGCCTCATTGGCTCATTGGCATGATTCGCATGCGTTTCCCCCGCCCAGTACAGCGTTTCGTAGCCCCATAAGGAGCTCCACAGAAGGCCCCAGTGGCGGCGTCCGCATGCGTTTCACCCACCCAGTACAGCGTTTCGTGGTGATCAGGTTGATGGTGGTGGTGGTGGTGGTGATGATGGTGTTGGTTGTGGTTGTGTGGATGACGGTGGTGATCATGGTGAGCAGGAGCATGACGATGAACAGGCGGGCTGTGCTGGTGGTGCTGGTGTTGGTGTTGGTGTTGGTGGCTGTGGCGGAGGATAGCATCAGTGGCAGTGGCACGTAGCAGTAGCAGTCGCGCGCTTCGTCGCAATAGCAGAAGCGGGGGGACCAGCGGCAGTGGGAGGAGGGGCAGGTGGAGGAGGCAGGCGAGGACGAAGACGAGGACGACGACGAAGGGGGAAAAGGCCATCCATCGGCTGCCTCCTGCAGTCTCTTGCCCAGGAGACGGCGTCCTCCAGAGCCTGGTCGACCCGCCTCGGCCTCCTTCGCTCTCTCCCCACTGCTCCCCCCTGCCCCCTTTCCCCCTCCCCCCCTCCCTCCCTCCCTCCCTCCTCCATCCTGTCCTCCCCTCCCTCCTTCCCTCTCTCCCTCCCTCTCTGCATCGCGTGCAGTCTCGGAATCGATGCAACGTTCGACATCCGACTGCGAACGGAGAGATCTTCGCCATAGCAAGGGATGAGAGGGAGGGGCAGGGCGCCGGATGTGACGCTTGCGCTCCTGGCTTGCTTCCTCCCTCCCTTCCTCCCCTCCCCCCCAAAATACGTCTCCCCCTCCCCCCTCTCATTCTCCCCCCCTCCCTCCCTCCTTCCCTCCCTCCCTCCCCCTCCGGGCCTCCTCCCCCCTGCCCGGTGGCGCCCCGCCCTGGGCCACCCCTCCCGCTCCACGAGGACCCCCTGAGGCCGGCCCCCCCCGGCTCGGGGGCGGCCACGAGGGGGGTGTGACTGGGGGGGGGGGGGCTGGATGCAGGCCTCGGCACAGATCGGCGAACACTCATGCCACATGCATCTTCACCACCCACCAAACCACCCCAACCCAACCCGAAGGCTCAGATTTACCCTCGATTTCTAGTGGGGGCGGGGTCGGGAAACATCGAAAAAACACGCGTGGAACCCTTACCCCCCCCAACCCGAAATTCGGGTCTTCGGGTTGGGTTGGGGTGGTCTGGTAGCTAGTCACATCTGTCAACGCCTCCCTCTCCCCCCAGTGTTCAAAGTTGGCGGTGGGTCCGCTGACGTGCACTTCGACCGCCGTCTCCCCCGCGCGTGCCAACATGGAGTTTTGGGGGGGAGGGGGAGTGTTCGGCAATTGTTTCCCTCTACCGTACCATGGCGGGGGCCATGACATCTCCCCAGATCTCATGGCGCCTCTTCTCGTTTCATGACGTCCCCGGACCCCAGCTCGGGGGCCGCGCACGTGCCGCCGGCCATGATGTGCGCGCCCCCCTCTTGGACGCGCCCTTCTTGGGTCCCCTGACTGGCCACCTCGCCATGGAGGCGGGCGGGGGGTCGGGGGCTCGTGGAGGGCGAACTATCCCAGGGTGGGGTTCCCTCCTCCTCCTCCTCCTCCTCCTCCTCCTCCTTTTCCTTCGCCCTCCTCCTCCTCCACCCTCTTCCTCCCTTCTCCTCCTCCACCCTCTTCCTCCCTCCTCCTCCTCCTCCTCCTCCTCCTCCTCCTCCTCCTCCTCTCCCTCCTCCTCCAGAGCGGGCCCGGCGGGATGCTCCCGCTCCACGCGCTGCCTTCTCCCAGAGGCCGCTCGGAGCGATGTTCTCCCTCCAGCCCCGCCCTTGCCCGGACCCCGCTAAAACGACACGAAGATCGGGACAAAATCGGATCGGGATAACTCGAAATCTCTGAGAATCGGCGGGTTTGGAGGATGTATTGGGCGCCGCGGCCGCTCCAGAGCGTTCGGGAACGCTCTGAGAGCGTTCTGGAATGCCCTGTTTTACCCGCCTTTGCCCCCCCTGGGGGGGGGCGCCGCGGAGACGGTGTGGGACCTGTGGACGGCGCCTGGCTACGACGGGCCGAAGGAGCGAGCGGACGAGCCGTCCGAGGCCGCCGAGGAGCCCGTCCCTCCTCCCGCCCCCTCCCTCCCTCATCCCTCCCCCCTCCCTCCCTCCTCCTCCTCCTCCTCTCCTCCTCCTCTTTCTCCCTCCCTCCCTCCCTCCCTCCCTCCCTTCCCTCCCTCCCTCCTCTTCCTCCTCCTCCCCCTCCTCCCCCTCCCCCTCCCGAAGGGGTGGGTCGCAGGGGACCAGGCGTAAGTCGCGCGGGTCTCTCTACGAGAGGAAGGGTCAGGAAGAGTAAAGAATAGTCAGGGGACGATTTTGCCGACTATGTGTTAGGGTTCTTGTTCATTTATGAGCATTTTGTTGGTCTAGTTTGGAGCATTCTTCCCAAGCCCGCCTGTAGGAGGACATGCCCGACCTAAGCCTAGGACGAGGAGAAATCCGTTCCAGAGCGTTCCAGGACTCTCTCAGAGCGTTCCGGAGCGCTCTGGGAAGGCCGCGGCGCCCGAGACGTCCTTCAGAGCCGCCGGATCTCAGAGATTCTCGACGTATCCTCGCCCGATTTTGTCTTCGTCCTGGCTTCGTCGTAGAGGGGGCAGAGCGAGGAGGGAGGGAAGGAGAGTGGGCGGGATTGGCGGGGATGGGGATTGGGGCGGGAGACGGTGGGACGGGGGGTGGGGGATGGGCGGAGGCTCCACCTGGGCCCCCGTCCAGCCCTTCCTCCTGCTCGTGCTCCTGCTCCTGCTCCCTCTGATCCCCCCCCTTTCCTCTTCCTCACCCTCCCCCCGATCCCACTCCTCTTCCTCCCTCTCTCCCCTCTCCCCTCTTGGCCCCCCCTCTCGCCTCCACGGTCTCCCCCGTCTCCCCCTCCTCTTCCCACCCGCCTGTGCGCTTCCTGCAGGGCCCCACTCCTCCTCCAACCGTGGCCGCTGAGTCCTTTTACCTCCTTCCCCTGTCCACTTATGCTTTTACCCCCACCATCTCCTTCACCAGACACTTGGTTTGTCGAGCGCCCCCGACAACTCGAGCGCCAGTGCGGATTGCCTCTGCCGTGCCGCGACGCAAAAGCTGTCCATTTGCTTGCACGGCGCTAGCTGGAGGTCTCGGGATTCCTCTCCCTGGGGGGGGCCGCTCCCCACGCCTTCGTCTTGCCCTCTCGCCAGTTTCACCCCAGAGCCAAGTGCTTCTCTCAGGAGGCCAGAAGGAAGGCCAGCGATCCTCGATCCTCGATCCCTCCTTGCCTCCTCCCCTGCCGTTCCTCTGGTCCCACCCCATCAGACTCTCAAGACTTTTTTTGGCCTGGCTCTGATGCCGAAGGCACGCGCGCGATGAAACGAGCGAGGCAGCCTAGCCACGTGGTGCAAGCTACGTGGTGCGTGCGATGTGATGCAAGCTCTGTGTTGCAATCTATGTGCTGCAAGCTATGTAGTGCAATCTATGCCGTGCACTCCTATGTGCTGCTCTCTATGTGAAACAGGCTGTGCGGTGCAAGCTGTCGGATGCAATGTGCGAAGTGAAACCTATTGGGTGCAACTCACCAATGCTCGCGGTGAATTGTTAACTCCACTGCTCGCGCAATCATCCCACCCACCCACCCGCAACTTGGCTTGCAAAACCCATGCGACGGCGATTGCGATGAATGCTTGGCGTTGGCTGGTGCACCTCTGTGGCCGCGCTAGCCCGCGCATGCTCGCGCGCGCAGCGGCCAGCTAGTGCGGCGCGACCGACGCGGCCGCGGTGGCGCTGACCGCTGGGCACTTCCCAGCGGGCAGTTCAGTACGAGTCGGTGACTTGGGCGGGCGCGGTATCATGGCGACGCCGACAACGGTCGACACGATGATTCGAGTAGCGATGAGGGTGGCGATGGTGGCGATGACGACGGCAAGGCCAATAACAGTGCCGATGTTGATCACGCCCGCCGATAACGATGACGATGTCTTCGCGCCGGCCATGAAGGTTTTGGACAGAGTTCGACCTGTTCGCGCGGCCGACGCGCGCGAATGGCTTGCGTAGTATTTTTGAAACGGATCATGCCCCCAGTACGTGCGCAAAGGGCGTTCGGATGAGTTCGACATGCGGCGCAGGAAAACTGTTTGGCAGAATTCGATGGCATTTTTGGATTTCACCGATGGTTCCCCAACGAATTCGCAACAACTCGCGCGGATTTTTTGTTGTGTGTGTACGCGTGTGTGTGTGTGTGTGTGTGTTTGTGTGTGTGTGTAGGGACGTGTGGGGGGTGGGGGTGGGGGGGGTGGTGAAAAAACGGATTTTGCAAAACAAGGGTTTTTGCTTATAGCACATAATATGATCAAAATCAAATGTTCGGGACAGTCGTTTCTGAAATCCTTACGAAGCCTCCGGTTTTCGAAAGATTGCGGCATGCGCGCGCGACGACGCTCGCATGTGCACTTCCTCTTTTTTGCAAAAAGATTCGTGCGGCAACACGCGCGCAACGCCTTCGAACGATTTCGACATGCGCGCGCGAGAGGCCCGCTTGGGAGCATTTTATGATTCGGTTGAGCAACCAGTGGTTTTCTTAAAAATCTCCATGCGCGCGGGCGCATATGTTTTTATATATATATAAAGCATCGTTAACATCTATAGATGTAACCCTTGTAGCGAAACCGATGTTCAAGATCGTGGCGTTTTTTTTTTTTTTTTTTTTTTTTGAAACTTAACAAATAAACAGCAACAATCCTTACGACATCTTCGGTTTTTAACGGATTTCGGCATGCGCGCGCGACGACGCGCGCGTGTGCACTCCGTCCCGCTTTTTGCAAAGAGGGGTTCTTGAACACTGATAATTTTTGACAAAGGGGTGTACGCTTGTACGCGCATACAATTTGTTTCACAAGATGGTGGGGGCCGATGCCGGCCTAACTGGGATGGCATGCGTTGATATTTCAGATGGACGGTGGGGCATGATCATCTGTAATTACATTGCAGCGCGAAAGAGGGGGCACGTGAAGTCCAGGGGGGGATCGATCCTAATATTTTGAAGAATGCAGAATCGATGTTTGTACATCATATAACACCGCCAGCACACCCAGATTTCCGCCGCCCCCCTCTTTCGGTACCGGAAATTTGGACTCCCTCTAGGTCCTCGCGGGCCTCCCAC